CTCGTGTCTGGGGACGCAGCCTTTGTAGGGTTTGCGGATATGGATCGAGCGTCGGTGCAGCTGCTGCAGCCGCAGCAGCAGCAGCAGCAGCAGCAGCAGCCAGAGGACCAGCAGCAGCAGCAGCAGCAGCAGCAGCAAGGTTTGTTTGCTGCTTCTCTGTGCGGTACAGCTGGGGATAGATGGGCTGCTGAGAGGCCCCAGGGGGCCCCCCTGAGACAGGTGTATCTGAGCTGCAACAAAGTGCTGCGGTTCGACAGCAGCAGCAGCAGCAGCAGCAGCAGACGCCGCAGCAGACGCGGATACCAACCCCCATCCGCAAGGCACCCCGCTGACTTCAGCAGCAACAGCAGCAGCAGGGGCAGCAGCATCGGGGACAACAGCAGCAGCAGCAGCAGCAGCAGCAGCAGAAGCAGCAGTCCTCGTACTCATAGAGATTCTGCAGCAGCTGGCAGCAGCGCTCTCCGCAGGCCACAGCCGGAGCAATCGAGAGCAGCAGCAGTAGCAGCAGCAGCAGCAGCGGCAGCAGCAGCAGCAGCAGATACAGCTGAGATGGAGGCTCGGGAGAAACTTAGGGAACAGAATAAACGCCAGCGGCAGGCAGCAGCAGCAGCAGCAGCAGCAGCAGCAATGCAGAGCGTGGGGACGCCTACGAGTCAAGACAATTTGAATGCAGCTGCAGCAGCTGCAGCAGCTGCACCAGCAGCAACCGCAGCAACAGCAGCAAGTTCAAGCGATTCAACAGCAGCACAGCAGCAGCTGCAGGAACAGCAGCAGCAGCAGCAGCAGCAGCAGCAGCAGAAGGAACAGGAGCTGTTGGAGCTGAGCCAGGCGCCGCCTTCAGATTCCGCTGTTATACTGATATCACCTGCAGCAGCAGCAGAAGCAACAGAAGCAACAGCAGCAGCAGCAGGAGCAGCAGCAGCAGCAACAGCAGGTGCTGTTATCCCCTTCTCTGTCAGAAGGAGACAGCTGCTGCAGTACGGGATGAGGCTACGCTTTTGCGAGCAGTGCTGCATGTATCAGGTACGCAGCAGCAGCAGCAGCAGCAACAGCAGCAGCAGCAGCAGCAACAGCAGCAGCAGCAGCAGCAGCAACAGCAGCAGCAGCAGCAGCAGCAACAGCAGCAGCAGCAGCAGCAGCAGCAGCAAAGTATGATTCCTGCATCTCTTCTGTGCTGCAGCCACTGAGGACGAAACACTGCGCTGAGTGCGGCGTATGCATCCGCACCCACGATCACCACTGCCCCTGGATAGGTATGCTGCTGCTGCTGCTGCTGCTGCTGCTGCTGCTGCGGCTGCTGCTGCTGCTGCGGCGGCTGCTGCGGCTGCTGCTGCTGCTGCTGCTGCTGCTGCGACTTCTGCTGCTGCGGCTTCTGGTGCTGCTGCTGCGGCTTCGGCTGCTCTTTTTGCTGCTTCTGGTGCTGCATCTGCTTCTGCAGCTGCTGCCGCTGCTATTGCTGCTGCTGTCGCTCCTGCTATTCCTGCTGCTCCTGTTGCTGCTGTTGCTGCTGCTGCTGCTCCCGAGGTTTGTTGCGTGAGATGGGGGCCAAGCATGGATACCCTGTCGTTTTGCTGCTGCTGCTGCTGTTGCTGCTGCTGCTGCTGCTGCTGCTGCTGCTGCAGGGAGCTGCGTGGGAGAGAAGAGCCGGCCGCACTTCATGCTGTATCTGCTGCTGCAGGTGCTGGAGGCGGGTGTATGTACAGCTCAGTGTGTGCGGCTGCTGCTGCTGCCTGTACAAATCAAAGCTGAGTGGTGCGGTGACCCTGCTGCTGCTGCTTTATATACTGCTGCTGCTGCTGCTGCTGCTGCTGCTGCTGCTGCTGCTGCTGCTGCACGATTTGCTGCTGCTGCTGCTCGTGACAGGGTTCTCAGCAGGATTTGCTCTCGGCGTTGGGTTATATGCTTGCTGCCTTTCTGTTGAACTGCTGCTGCTGCTGCTGCTGCAGCAGCTGCTGCTGCTGCTGGTGCTGCTGCTGGTGCTGCTACTGCTGGTGCTGCTACTGCTGGTGCTGGTGCTGCTGCTGCTGCTGCTGCTGCTGCAGCAGTTGCTGGAGCCGTCGTAAGAGCAGTTGCAGCAGCAGGAGCTTGTGCAGCAGCAGCAGCAGCAGCAGGAGCAGGAGCAGCAGCGTGTGTATGTGTATATGTATATACAGGGGGGGCCTAATGTCTTTGATGGTGCTGAGTTTATTTATTTTTTTATTGGGTTTGTCTGCGCTTGTTGGTTGTCTTGCTGCTTATCATTTGCTGCTGATGGCTCTAAACCTAACCACCTGGGAACAAATAGCCTGGAGAAGAATCTCTTACCTCAGAGTAAAACCCTAGATCAGGGTTTAGGGTTTAGGGTTTAGGGTTTAGGGTTTGGGGTTTAGGGTTTAGGGGGGAGGGGGGAGGG